GAGGAGACGTTTCTATAGAAACTACCAGAGGAGACGTTTCTATAGAAACTACCAGAGGAGACGTTTTCAATACAAACTACCAGAGGAGACGTTTTAAACAGAGACAGAACGACGAGTCCTTCTTCAAGAGTCCATTCACGTTTCTATTTAAACAGCAGCTTCACCTGAAGATCAGTTGTGGAAGTAAACTCTTCCTGCTTCTCTTTAAAAACTGTTTATTGTGTTTTGTCTCTTCAGAGTCGGAGCTGAAGTTTCTCGTGCGACTGTGAACATGTGAGTTTTTCAGATTTGAAGACTTCCTGTTCTCTTTTGTGCCGTTGTAGGTTTTATTTCCTTCCTTTAGGTTTCAGGTCAAACCTGAGAGAATCAAAGTTGCTCACTGAGTGAATCTTTGTTTAAAGAGCTGAAGCCTGATTCCATCAACTAATCGAGAGCTACAGTTATTCATATTGTTGTTGTTGTTTAACACAGGGATCACACTGACCTCTCTGGTCACAGCTGGTACTGCTTCTCTGTTTGGAGTCGTCTGATGTCAGATGGTAGTGATGATGATCGTGAACTTAATTGTTGTTTATTTCTGAAACATTTCTCCAAAGTTCAGCCTGACAGGTTTTAAAACTTCTGAAACTTTACTTTAAAATAAAGGCATGTGTGTCTGAGTGAAGCAGGAGTTTGTACTGAAGGAAAATAAAAGATTTCCAGTGATGCAGCTTTGGTCACTTGGATTTTCTTCAGACATAAAGGATGTTTAGAGTCATAGCCCTGAACAGAAGACGCATGTGTGAAGGACGGATGTTTGAGTCAGAAATCCTTCCTGAGCGTCTCCGACCAGAGTCACAGCGAAACGTTCAGTCGACCACAAACGAGCGCATCAATTATTCAGAGTCAGTGACACCAGAGATCAAAACTACAGAAAACCTGAAAAATGCTCCATCGTGTGAAGTCGAGCTCATCGGTCTGTTTTTAACATCTGTGTTCAGGCGCTGAAGACGAACAGATACAGACATGATCCCCTATTCTCCCTGAGGTAACACACACACACACACACACACACACACACACACACACACACACACACACACACACACTCACACACACACACACACTGACAAACACACACACTGTTTTTATATGAGCAGTCTTTTCCTCGCTGACCGCATGTTACCCAGGCCTGTGTGTGTGTGTGTGTGTGTGTGTGTGTGTGTGTGTGTGTGTGTGTGTGGGGGTGGGGGGGGACAAAGCTGTGCTCTCTGGAATAATCCCTTTGTGTCGTCCTCTCACCTCAGACAATGTGGAACTGTCTCTCTGCAGCAGAGACGTGAACACACAGTTGTGTCGACTGTTTACATTCACACAATGATCCGATCGCACAAACACAACATTTTCTATTTATTCGCTCGTCTTCTCCGCTACACCGCCCCGACACTGCCCCTACTGTTCATGTGTATATTGCATCTGAGGTTATGTTTCTGTCTCTCCTGTGTATTTTTACTCTGCTATAACATACTTTATATTTTTGTACAGATCTATAACCAATAACATCTTGCGTATGTTCTTCTCTCAGGAACCGACCAATCAGCAGTCATGATGATGCCCAAGGTAAATTCTGTTTGTGATATTTTAAAAAGTCCGACTCTAAATGTGAGAGTTGAGCTGTGACATTTCTTCACTTCCACTTCGATCAGATGTGAAGTTTCATTAGTTTCAATCAGCCTCATTTTTCTGAATTGGAAAAATGATGAAAAACAAATTCTTAATCTGTGATTTACTTTAAACTTTGAATTTAAACCTAAATGTTTGTCATTGACTTCTGACCTGTGTGTGTGTGTGTGTGTGTGTGTGTGTGTGTGTGTGTGTGTGTGTGTGTGTGTGTGTGTGTGTGTGTGTGTGTGTGTGTGTGTGTGT